GAGTCGATCATACTCAGTGATCTATCGACAGAAACAAAGAACAGAGTACCATATGTTCTCACTCATAAGCGGACCTTAAACAACTATAATACTATAAGACAGGGATTGGCAGTAGTGGGAAACTGTCAGGGGAGGGGTGGGATTGGCAGTTGAGGGAAACTGCTAAGGGAGGGAAGGGCATACCTCGTCAACAAGGGTGCCTACATAATCAACGTTTGTATACCTAACCCTGAATTGTACCCCACGTCTTTATAATAAAAAATAATAAATTTAGAGATACTCTTAAAAAAGAGGAAGAAGAAGCCTTTGCTGGAAGACCTATGTTGTACCTCTCCTCCTTCTCCTTTGTAAAATGAGTCTCACTCTGGGAAGTTTTTCTTGTCCCTAGATGCTATATGAGCAATTTTTGTGCATTGGCTTTTCTTTTTTAATGTTTTTTATTTTATTTTTAAGATGTGGGGGTATAATTCAGGAATGCATTGGTTTTTATTCTACTTTTAGAATCACTAAGAATGAGTCTAATCTCTCTCATGACAACCATTTGGAAATTTGAAGAGCATTTTTATATTCCCCTTAACTCTTCTTTTTAGTGGTTTAAATCTTTTCATCTCCTTTAGTTGTTAATCATAGAACTCTTTGGACTCTCTCAGGAATCATGTCCCTTAAGTGTATCTCTACTAACAGTACAATGTTCCAAATTTTGTCCAAACATCAAAGAATAAAATGGGACCATTACCTATCTAGTTCTTAATTCCCTAGTTCTGTGGAGAATCTTCAGTCATCTTTGTTGTTTGGCATCTGTGTCACACTTCAGACTCAGAATGAACTTGGCTGATAAGAAAAAGTCCAGGCTGAGGTGAGTGAATTGCCTGAGTCCGCAGGTTCGAGACCCACCTGGGCAGCGAGACCTCATCTGTACAATAAATAAAAAAATCAGCCGGGCATGGTAGCGCATGCCTGTAATTCTGGCTACTTGGAAGGCTGAGGCGGAAGGATCGCCGGAGCCCAGCAGGTAGAGGCTGTGGTGGCCGGGAGCGGCCACCGCACTCCAGTCTGGATGACAGAGTGAGACTCCAACTCAAAAAAAAAAGAAAAAAAAGAAAAAAAAGAAAAAGTCCGTTTTGTTTTGTGTTTTCCTCACTGGTTGCTATAGATTCATCTAGCACTTGTGGAGATATTTTTTTAAAAATGAAACTGTGATATCTTTTTTTCAGATTATAAAATAAATATTTGGAAACTTGGAAGTTGTGAAAAAGCAAAATGACCATTATTGATATGTTATTAAATATAAACCAATTTTTTCTATACACAGGATGCTTGTGTATTATTAATTACATTTTGCAATGGCTTTGAACAATCTTTTGTGAATGTGTTTCATAAAATGTCATGTCATTTTTATTAGCTACATAATATTTAATCATATTGAAATTTTGTAGTTTATTCAACCAGTTCCCTGTTGCTGGACATTTAGGGATTTATTATTATTATTAATTGATGCTTTTATAAGTATCTATGAACCTAAATTTGATATACATTTTCGAAAAGGATAAATTCCTAGAGTAAAATTACTGGGTTAAAAGATAGAATTTTAATGTTTCTGAGCTTATTAGTATATTTTATCATATTGTCCTCTAAGAAAGTTGTACTAATAGAATGCATTACCACTAACAGTAATTTTTTTTTTTTTTTTTTTTGAGTTGGAGTCTCACTCTGTCGCCCAGACTGGAGTGCAGTGGCCGCTCCCGGCCACCTCAGCCTCGTCCGCTGGGCTCCGGCGATCCTTCCGCCTCAGCCTTCCAAGTCGCTGGAACTACAGGCGCGCGCTACCACGCCCGGCTAATTTTTGATTTATTGTAAAGATGAGGTCTCGCCAAGTTGCCCAGGCAGGGCTCGAACCCGCGGGCTCAAGCAATCCACTCACCTCAGCCTCCCAAGGCGCAGAATTACAGGCTGAGCCACCGAGCCCGGCCACTAACAGTATTTTAAGAGTCCCAATTTCTCTGCACACTCGCACCCATATTCATTAAACAAAAGTTTATGACACTTTGATGAACAAAAGCAAATGGAATTTTATTGTTTTGTTTAGCATTTTAATAACTAGTGAGATTAAACATTTTAAAATTTGTCTATTGCCATTTAAATTTCTTCTTTGGGGGAATTATCTTTTCATATGATGCTCATTTTTCTATAGGGCATTCTTTTTCTCCTTAGTGACACAGAGTAGTTATTTAAGTACAAAGGATATTTATGCCAAATAATTTTACCAATTTGTTACTTACTTTTTGTTTTGTATTGCATTATAACTGGAATGTGTTCTGGATCGTGACTTCTATCAGATTATTCTGGATCTATAGGAAAGTTATATATTTTTTGGTATATATTGCTTAACTGGTAAGCTTTCTAAATATTAGTATTCCTTCAAAGAGTTTTTAAACCTTTTATTTGAATCTCATATTTTTTTCTTGTCTTCTCACTTTAGCTTGAAATTCTAGCATGATGATAAATAAGAATGGATGCAATGGACAACCTATTTTATTCCTGACTTTAATAGAAATACCTTATGTTTCATTACTCCCCATGATACTGACCTTTGGTTTTAGATATACATCAGACCAAATATATATTTGTGAAGGAACTATTCATTTATTCAGGCATTTTCACAATTAAAAAATCAACAGTAGATGCTGAATTTAAACAAAAAATATTTCAGCATCTTTTTATGTGAATATGAAATCTCTGACTCTCAACAGTTTTAAACTTAGAGAAAAGCTGGTGTACAGCACAAAAAAACTGTTTTTCCTGAACCATTTGAGAGTATGTTGCTGATGTGATGCCTCATCGACTCCGAATATTTCAGTATATATTTTCTGTAGACAAGAAATATTCTCTTATATTACTAAAATCAACCATCAGGTCCTGGAAATTAACACTGATAGATACATTATTATCATCTCCATCTTTAGATTTCAGTCAAGTCCTTCAAATTGACCCAACCATGCCTTAGTAATGTCTAGTTCAGAGTTACATACTATTCATACAAAAGAATTATATATAAAAGTTCATTGTAGCAATGTTACTCATAATAGTAAAAAACACAAACGCCTACATATCTATCAATTGATGAGTAAACAAAATGGCCTTATAATAGGATATTCTCATATTCATATAATGGAATATTACTCAGCCATAAAAAGAATGGAATATTACTCAGCTATAAAAAGACTGTTGTACTGACACAAGTTAAAACATGGATGAACTCGAAAACATTATGCTAAGTCAAAGAATTCGATCTTAAAAGACCCCATGTTATAGAATTCAATTTAAATGAAAGGCCCACAATAGACAAATCCATAGATTTTTCTAAAATTTTATAGTGACTAGAAGTATGATAGTGTTGCTTAGGGATTGGAAGGTGTTAGGAGAAGAAATGGAGGATGACTGCTCTTGGGTATGGGGTTTCTTTTTGGGGTGACGAAACTGTCCTAAAATTAGATGATGCAGATGCTTGAACATCTCTTGAATATACTAAAATATATTAAATTTTATACTTTGAAAAAGTAAATTTATGAGCTATATGTTACATTCAATAAACCTATTATTACAAAAGAAGAATTGTATGTTGGATTTAGTTGTCATGTCTCTTTAGTCTCTTTCAATATGAAACAATTGTTTGGTCTCTTTTGGGTTCTACTGATCTTGACATTTTTGAAAATTAAACGCCAGTTCTTTTATAGTTTGTTCCTCAATCTTAGTTTGTTTGATGTTTCCTCATTATTAGATTCCTATTATGAGCTTTAGTCAGAAATATCACAAAAATTGATACTTAATTCTTATTGTATCTTTTCAAGTGGTATATAATATTGATTTATTCGTTTTCTGGTGATGTTTACTTTAATCACTTGATTAAGATGTCTTCTGTCAGGTTTCTCTCCTGTACATTTATGCTTTTTCCCTTTGAAATTATCTAGTTTTGTTGAAAGGTACTTCGAGGTTGTATAAATGTCCCACTTTTCTTTATGCATTTTTTTAAATGGCAGTATGAACTCATGCTTTCATATTTAATTTGCCATGTTATGATCCATTATTAGAATTAGCTACTTTGGTGTTCAAAATATCCTAGACTTGGCCAGTGGGAGCCCTTCCAACTGACTCCTGTGTCCTTGTGGTTTGTTCCCTTTATTCTTTGCACACTTCCTTATTTTCTAGTAAAAGAAGATGCTTCAGTTTCATCTTGTATTCTGTCCATCCTAGCCCTAGAATCAGTCATTTTTCAAGAAGCCCTGGCCTTTTTAGTGATAGAATGATATTTAGAAACAACAATTTGATCTCTAAGTATACTTACAGCTCTTTGGGTGTCACTGCTTCCAGGCCTCTCCTAGTGAACACATTGATGTCTAAGTGATTTTCTGTATTATATATCTAGCTAACTATCCATCTATTTGTCTGTCCATCCTTCCACATATAGAAAACCATGAATTTCCATGGATGCTTTTACTTTAATACAACTCCACAGGGTAATGTGAGTTTTCTCCCTTCCAATATTTGTAACTTGCTTCTCTGAAAGTAAGAAACCCAACTTCCGTTATCCTTTAGATAGTTATCTATGTGATCAAACCTTGTTTAAAACCAGTCTTATATCCACCACCAATGCCCTCTGCCCTATGTATGCTTTTCTCATACCACTTCACTCCTACATACCCCCTCTACCACCAACTACCTCTTGGACCTAATGGCTTTTGGAATGGGTTATTCTGAAAGGAAAGGGGAAGGAGGAGATAGCTGTTTTTCTTTTTTACTTATAATTTAGCAGTTTATAGTAATAGGTTTGTCTAATATTGACTCATACTTGGACTTTTGCAATATGTTGTGCTTTGATTTTTCTACTCTTTTATTTAATATTTCTTTATAAATTAATTTATTTTGCTGACCTGAAGAAAGTTGGAAATGCTAGAAATTTTCTTAAACATTTCCCTAATTTCATTCTCTTTGACTTTTTACAGGACAAATACAGGGCTTCTCTTGACTTCTTTGCATTTTTTCCATTGTCTTTGATTTTGGAAATGCCACCAGAATGAAGGCTGCATTTTTTGGTGGTGGAAATTATTGATATGTCTCAGAAGCAAGAAATCATGAAATATCTATTTTCCAGCAATGATGTATGACTCTCACAAAGGCCACACCATTATTTAGAATACTCCAACAAATGTTTTTCATGGAAACAGAGCAGAGATGTCTAACATTTCCTGGAATTGGTGGAGGAGAAGGAGGAGGAGGAGAAGAAATTCAACCAAATATCCACTTGTTAGCCCAACATTGAAAGGGACCAGCCTTAAAGAATAATTGGAGAATCAACCAATAATACTACTATTCTTCAACTCTTTCAGAATTTCTTGGAGCTCACAAAAAGATTAATCGAAACAATAAATCTGCTTTGAAAAACATATTTAAGGAGAAATGGAATTTAGAAAATGCCATGTAGACATCTATCATTCTATAAACTATGATTATTGTTAGTGACCTGAAACCTGGGAGTGGGTTCTAATGGTTAAAAAATGTCCACAGTTTTCCTCTTCAGGACTGCCTTGTCCCCACCTGATCATTACTGCACTGTCTTGGCTCCTTCAGGCCTAATGTACATGAGTTGCTTTTATTTATCTGGGTAATTGGTTAATTTTGGATGCAGCTGTCTTGCAGGTATTATTTTGTTTTTTCTCCAGCAGACAACAAAGCCTGAATTGCTACCCTCTTTATAATTCATTTTACACACCTTCTCACCTGTCTCCAAACAACCCTCCCTCTGTTTCTGTTTAAGGAAGATAGTTTATTACATATGTAGGTTCCTTCAAAATGATTAACATATGCCATGTGTGCTCATACATACTGCACACACACTGTACAGGTGTGCCACTGGATAAGTTATTTTTATATTCTTGGCTCAGTTATTCCTAACAAAGTTTGTTCCATTTATAAAGCTGAAAAACAAGGTGGGGATAAGGGAAAAAGGATGATGTGTTTTTGCTTATGAGGTTTAAATGTAGCCTGATTAGTTGACCATTGGGGAACTGTGCTCTCCGTGAACTGAATTTTTCAGCTATATTGTTGGCTCTGGAGATCCAGACGGAGGCTAACCCAATTATCCAAATAACAAAATGTCTAAAAAAATCCCTAGCAAATAGCAGTTGCATTTGGGGAAGTATTCTCATTCATAAAACTGGAAGGTCACATTCATTTCAAGAGTGCATCAACTGGAATGCTATTTGAGCTTGTGGTTAGAACATTCATTCATTTATTCAACATGTACTTTTTGAAACCCTTTCATGTACCAGACATTGTACTAGGTGCTGGAGATTGTTAATAAGCAGAGTCAAGCATGATTCTTGCTGGTTAACATTTAACAACTGATTTTTCAGAAATAAAGCCTTTGAGTTTTAGTATTTGCCAATTTCTATGGTGCAAATACTCCTACCACAACCAGTTTCAAGCTATCAGCGTTCTACAGTGTAAGAAGATATGGGCACATTCAGCAATTGTGAGCTAGTGTAGGCTGGCTCCTAAACAATGCTGGTCTTTGCTGGCCAAGAGTTTACGGTCAAGTTGGGAAGATATATATTACAAATATTACCCTTAATAAAAGTGGAACTTCAAACTGTGATAGGACTGTAAAAAAGGGGAATGTCATTATGATAGAATGTAATAAAGTAATATAAATTAGATTGTGAAATAATTGGAAGTGTTCCCTGGGAAAACCGGTATTTAAGCAGAGAGCTGAAGATGCAAAAGAAGATTACTAAAGGAAGGAGAGAGCATTTCACGTAGAATTTAGAGCTCATGCAAAGGTTCATGGTGGGAGGGAACTAAGTATATTTGAAGAAAATAAAATAAGACTGTGGCTGAAAAGTGAGAGAAAGAGGAGCAGTTTGAAGTGGTACAGTAAACCATGGTTGGCTTATAAGTTATGATAAGAATGTAGATCTTTACCCTAAAAGCAGGGGTTATCCACTGAACAATCTGAAGCCTGGAATTAAAATGATGAAATTGGCTTTTGAAGAGATCACTCTGGCTACAGAATAGAGAATGGATTGGAGTTGACCTGAATGGGAAGCTGGGAGGAAATCAGTAGTCTATTATAGTAGTCTATGTAAGAGATGCTCATAAATTGAACTAGGTTGTTGGCAATAAAAATGCAGAGACATAAAGAGATTTTAGATATATTTATGGCTTTAAATTGAGGTGAGTTAATAAGGGTTAGTGTCTAATATATTACCAGGTCTGTCCGGGGTTTGCACGACTGGCTGGATAGCAGTGCCAAGGAGCATGTATAAGAACACCAGTGTGTGTGTGTGTGTGTGTGTGTGTGTGTGTGTGTGTGTGTGTGTGTGTGTACACATGTGCATATGCAGAACAGATCATTAGTCTTGGGCATGATGTGTTTCAAGTGTCAGACAGCGAAGTGGGTGTATGAAGTAGACTGAATTTATGGCTCTAGAGCTCAGAATAAAGATCTGGCCTCAAGTCTCCTTTTTTGGAGTGGTTTGCATAAAGATGAAGTCTGAAGAACACTGCATCATTAACCCTGCTCCTCAGGCAGCAGGCATTTTTTTCAGCACATATTGGGCAATTTAAACTGTCTTCTCTGGGTATCTTTTTCATTTGTGTAAAGAGATAGTGATGCATCATGGCAGCTTCAGCAAGATTTAGGGAGTATTGAAATTATCTGGGGGCGGCTGTTCTTTTTTAAAGATTTGTATGTACTTTCATAGGCAATATATTAAATAAGATAATACCTGTAAAATGGTTAGCATAGTGCCTGGCATATTGTAAGGACTAAGAACACAACAAACATCATCATCATCTTCATATCTTGATCACAGTTACCTAAGTTTCATTATCAATAGGCTTGCTTTCATAGCACATTGAAAAGAAACTCATGCTATTTAGAGGAAAATGTCTAAAATATATACTTGTGTGTGTGTGTGTGTGTGTGTGTGTGTGTGTGTGTGTGTGTGTGTGTAAAGACATAGAGAAGTAGAAATGGTTCTGAAAGGATACCTCTCTGAAAAATGTGGGATTGAGGAAGAGTTAGGCAACCAACTGGACTTTTTTTAAAACTAAGAATCTGCAAAATTTGAATTTTCATGAGTATGTATTCCTTTTATAATTTTTTAAAAAAGAATTCCATTGCAGAAATTGAATAAGCATAGCACTCACATGATGTTGGTCAACTAGTGACCAAATGTGTAGTGGGTTCAAGGCCGTTATGAGAGAGAGTCAGATCCTACCATCATAGATGGAATCATTAGTAAATGATTGTTGAATTGTTTTTCTGGTTAAAAGTGACATAAACAGTTGACAGAAGATAAAATAAAATCAAGACACTTGATATATATTCCAGTTGCTATGTAACAAACCAGAAATGTAGCTTAAAACAGCAACACTTATTTTCCCCAGATTTACAATTTGGTTGGGGCTTAGTGGGAACATTTTGTCTTTGTGCTATTTGACATTGAGTGGGGTGACTAGAAGGTTAAAGGATGAAGTCATCTACAGGGGACTCATTCATGTGTCTGGCGGTTGATACTGGCTATTGCCTGAGACCACCATGGGGTTATGGCTGGGACAACTTTATGTGGTATTCCTCATAATATGGTGGCTAGGCTCCAAATACAAGTGTTCTGGGAAAGCCAAGTGGAAGCTGTATCACCTTTTTATTTTATCTTATTTTTATTTTTTTAGAGATGGAGTTTCCCTATGTTGCCCAGGCTGGTCTCAGATTCTTGAGCTCCCAGCCTCCTGAGCAGCTGGAATGACAAGGATGCACCACAATGCCTGACTTTGTATCAACTTTTGTGACCTATTCTTGGTAGTTACACAGCATCACTTCTTCCATATTCTCTTAGTAAAGCTGGTCATGATGAATCGTCTAGGTACAAGGAGAGAAAAAGTAGATGCTACCTCTTGATGGGCAAATAACAAGCTCTGCATGTAGAATGAGAAATATTAATGTGGCCATTTTTTGAAATACAACCTGCTACAACAAACCTTCTTCTTTCCAATGTTAAATGTGCCACAAATTTGCAGCACCAATATAGAAGATTAGCTATATTCTCTCAGTTGCCACAGCTGGATATGAAAATTGCAACTCTTCTTTAAAAACACATTCATGCATTTTAAGAGCAAGAACCCCAAGAATTTTAGTACTATAGGATTATCTTCCCATGATTAGCACAGCCATGATTTTTAAGTTAATTTCCCAGTGTACTGTTAAATTTATCTTAACATAAAAGGCAAATTGACACATTCCAGACATGATGAAAGTCAACTTTTGTTTAGTCTGGCCCGGGAAGCTGTTGGGTTTCTATTACTTGTCTTTGTTTCTAAGCTTACTCCTCAAGTGCAAAATGAGATAAAGCCCAGAAAGTACATTCATGAAGATGAATGTTTTCAATGGAATTTCAAATAGTTATATTAAATGCACATCAATGTCCTTCTTATCTACCAGCTGTACTTTGTAGTAGGCTGTATGGAGCTTAATGTGTTGAGTCAGATGCATTTCTCATATTATCTATTCATTAGCATTTGAGTCAACTCATTCATCTGTATCTCCAATGTCTTTGGCTCCAACTGGGACACGTGTGCACAGACCATTATTAAGAGGAGACTAATCACCCAGTATTTATTGATTACCCATAGACTAGTGCTTAGAGGATAGTCGAAAAACATCCAATTAATGGAATCTACCAGATTTGAATTTCCTTTTAGTTTATAGTGTAAATTGTTAACCCAGAACAAGCTATAAATTATATCTTCAGGGATGCTAATTTTAAAAAAACCTATTATTGCAAGTTTTGATTTCTTTTAATATACCCAAGTTTTTTCCTCATTTCAGTAGGTAAGGTCATCATGTAGCAGAAGTCTTAAAAACTGTGTTCTTTTGTTAAATGGCATGTAGAGCAAAACATAACAGAAAAAAATTAAGCAAATAAAAAACCCAGGCTTTCACACTATCTTTAAGTGTGAAAAACAGCTTTTTATAAATGGTTAGATAAATCAGTTAAATTGAATTTGAACAAAGTTTTGTCTCCAAATGTTTTCTTGTTTAGACAGAAGACAAACATGAGATATTTCTTTTAAGATAAGTCAATATTTTATTCTTCAGAAATTTGTTAAAGACTTAAAACTTTTAGCGGTTCTCCCATAACAACAATGCCAAAATAGCAAAATGAGTAAAGTGGAAGCTGGTATCTTCCCTGAAATTATCAGCACAAATGGAATTCAAACATTGTGTGCCTGAGTGTGTATATTTATTGACTTACAAAGGGGGCTCCCCGAAAACCAGAATTATCTTTTGGAGGGTGGGCTTCTCGTAGTTCACTCAGAATTTGTTTCTCCAGATCAAATGGCCAACAAAGATTTTACCTGGAAGTTTGGAGAAGGTTGTGTCATGATTTGTGGAACAAAAGTCCTTTTGAGGGATTCATGTGACTGGTACTTCCCCCATGACAACGCACCTGTCTCTCTCTCCATATATATATGAGAAGCACTCAATTCAATAGCAAGAAAATAAATAATATGATTAAAATAAGAGCAAAGGACCCGAAGAGGTGTTTTTCAAAATAAGACATGCAAATCACCTGTGATAAAATGCTCAACATCATCAGTCATCAGGGAATGTAAATCAAAACCACAATAAGTTGTCACCTCAGACCTATTTAAATAGCTATTATCAAAAGGTAAAAGACAATATGAGTTGATGAGGATGTGGAGAAAAGGGAAGTCTTCTACACTGTTGGTTGGAGTGTAAATTGATACAGTCATTATGGAAAACAGTGTGGAGTTTCCTTAAAAAAATTAAAAATAGGCTACTATATGAGGGGGGACCTCAAAAAATTAGAATTATTTTTTGGAGAGCAGGCCTCATGTAGTGCAGACTTCCCTTGCTAGATAAGTGCTCTAGGAACCCACTGGCATAAGTGTACCAGCTAGCATTGTTGTGAGAGGCTACATTCAGCTTCAGAGAAATTTTTTTTTTGGAGATTCTTTCAACATATTTGCCATTTCATCATGGGTAATTTATGAGTACACTTGCCCACACCGTACTGACAGTTCAGCAGTTTTTGACCAATAATGGCATGAACCCCATGTTCCATCCTCCCTCTTCACTGGATCTTGCCCCAAGCAACTTTTTTTGTTTGCTTGTTTCCCCAGATGAAAAAAATCCTCCAAGTGAAACGTTTTGCCAATGTGAAAGAGGTGAAACAAAAAACAGCAGAAGCACTAAAAAAACGCATCAAAACTGATGAGTTCAGAAACTGTTCTGTGCAGTGGAAAAAGCGTCTTGATAGGTGTATTGCATCAAATGGAGAGTACTTTGACTGAAATTTAAACATGTAAGAATAAATACACAATTTTTTATAAATAAATTCTGGGATATTTTTGGGTCTTCGCATACTCGTAAGGAGCATTTACTAATGTTCAACTCAATTAGCTATAGAAATAATCAGTTAAGATAGCCATCCTGGCTATTCTTCAGTTCACTCAGGGAAGTTTTTATAAAATATGGATTCTTGGGTCTCACACCCTAAAGATACTGCTCATAAACTGATTGTGAGACTAAGAAATCTATACTCTTCAAAAGTTCCTCTTTAGGCTTCTGGGTTATTAGTCCAGTGTGGGAACAACTGAACCAGAACATTTGATAACCCTT